AATGGTAAGTCCTGTGAACAGTATTTCGACTTGTAATATTCAGCTTCTAACCAACCTTTCAACTTTCTAGTCATATAGAAAAGAGAAACAGTAAGTAGTCATATCGTGGGTTCCTACATCGCGATTTCATTGCTGCTTTTTTTTTTTATGTTGCAAAGGGGGTAACTCCAGTCGAACCGATAATACAAGCGCAAGGACTAAGGAGAATTACTGAGTTTGACTACCTTGGTAACCACCCCAAGATCTCATATTCAGGCGCCCTAACTAACTTTGTTATAAAAGTCTGCTGATTCTGGATGAGGAATTGGTTATACTTTTTACCACTATTAAAAATTTTGTGTATTTTCTTATGATAGGTAAGAATCGAACGTTCGCGTTATTTCAAAAGATCTGCCAAAGTAATGGCAAGGGGTAATCAAGGAACGGTAAAAAAGACTGCTCTTATTGCATCTCAACCAAAAAAGACAGTCAAGGTCCCTGCTAAAAGATCAGGTTTTCATAAGAAACCAAAAAGAACTTAGGCTTATTAACTTTTATTATGATATTCTTCCTGAACTAAGTCGAATCAAAAGTTATAATTCATCAAATGTCACAAAAAAATAGTTATTAAATCTAGATTTATTAAATATGTAAAATCTTTTCTTATATATATATATATTTGAACATTATAAATGATAGGATTCTGTCAACTATTCCATATTAAGCCAAAATTAAGCGTTTCTGATGTCATAAATGAATCGCAATCAAGGTAGACGCGTTATTATTGGGTTCCAACGAATAATTGTATACCTTATATCAAATATTTGTTGTTAAATCCTTCAAGTAAAATTTAAGGAATCTAGAAGTGTTATTTTGGCTAGTGAAGTATCGATTTTTAACTATTTGTTTTAACTGTTATTATATATTGAGTTTCTAAAATAAAATATTATTTATTTTTTTCTGATTAAAGATTGATGATTTAACAAAAGCAATTATTCAACACAAAAATTCATGTGTGACATATATCACCTAAAAAATTTATAGACTTTAACGGAACTTTTACATTGGAGCGTCGTGATAATAATAAACTGGTAAGGTTATTTAGAACTTAAGTACTTGATGTATTAGTTATTTAAACGGCAATTGATATATATTGATGAATTGGGTTAACTATTATAAATCTTTGTACGTAATACCTGACGGCGTTGCATTTTTTTTTTTTTCTTTTTTTGCGCGAAACGAAATTGATCGAAAAAATTTTAAAACAATATTATTTACATATCCATTAGAATATTAAGGTAATGATCTAAAAATATATTTTATATATATATTTTTTTGTCCTTTAATAATAAAAAATAATTATTTTAAAAACAGAGGAATAATAATGGTCGAATTTATCATTTGCAAGTTAGATTAAATGAAAAAAATGAAATTTATGAATCAAATTGGAGAAACTTCTTCAAAAGATATTAATCTTCA